CAGTCCATCCCGGCTCCTGCTGAGGATGTTTCTGATTCTGAGAAACGGGTTGAGGCTGAGTGTGCCCTCGGGAAAGCAAGAGGATGGGAGAGCTGACCCCCCAGGGTTTATCTGAGCACAGGAGGGCTGCAGAAGCTCACCTCCAGGTCCTTCAGGGTGGCACCCTGTGACTGCAATTCTCCGGGGAGATAGAGCAGGCCACAGGGTTGGCCCAGTGAAATCGGGGCCCGCCTTCAAGTCGGCAGGTGAAGGTGACCCTGGGCCGGAGGCTGCGGGCCAGGCCGGGCCCTTCTCTGGGCTCCTGAATGGAGACTGACTACCTCACTGTGACTGGCTCAGGCACTGAGGCCCCTCTGAGCCCCCAGCTCACACCCCCCGCCCCCCCTGCCATCAGCACAGACTCTGGTCTCTGGCTGGAAACCTCCTCGGCTGCTCTTGACCCACGCCGGGTTCCCCCATGGTAGCCTGGGCTGGGGCAGAAGGAGAGGTGGGGAGACTCCCCGACCCCAACCTCTGGCCCTGCTTGGGAGGGACTGTCAGGAGCAGCCCTGGCCCCCTGGCTTGGGCCCAGCAGGGGCTGGGAGTGCGGAGTGTTCCGGTGGCCCCTGGCCTGCTGGCTGTGGGATGGAGTCACCGTGCGGCTTGTCACTCTGACTTAGAGCTTCTCCTGCACTAAGCGGACTTGTCACCCCCAGAGGCCGGCCGGCTGGGTTCAGGCAAGACCGGCAGCTGCCCGGCTGCTGCTGGGACTGAGTGCTGCTGTGCAGGCAGCACTGAAAGGGGCTCTTGAGACCACCTGGTCAGTCCCTCTGAGCCTCGGTGTCACACCATCACAGCTCATGCCCTGATGGGGGCCAGCAAGAGGCCAGGCTGGGCTGGAAGCCCGACTCCTAGCACAAACCTCCCACCTGCAGCCACTGCTCATTGTCCTTCCTTCTCCTTCATAACTTTCTGTTCCCCAGAACAGAATATCCCCCTCTTCCCCTCTCACTCCGCTCCCTCCCTTTCCTGCCGGCCCATCATTGCTTGGGAACAAGGCCGTGTTGGGCCGCGATGTCCAAGGAGACCCTGCACCGGGAAGGAGCAGTGTCAGCGCCATGTCAGCTGGGGCTCTGGGGCCAGGAGGCTGGAAGGTCCACAAAAGCCCCACGCTTCCTCCTGCCCCCCAAGGTGCAGGCTGGGGGCGCTTTCTCCTGCCCCCCAAGGTGCAGGCTGGGGGCGCTTTCTCCTGCCTCCCAAGGTGCAGGCTGGAGGTGCTTTCTCCTGCCCCCCAAGGTGCAGGCTGGGGGCGCTTTCTCCTGCCCCCCAAGGTGCAGGCTGGAGGTGCTTTCTCCTGCCCCCCAAGGTGCAGGCTGGAGGCGCTTTGTTGGCTGCAGGGTTTCCGTATTTTTTCCATCGCTTTGTGTCTGAAGGTAAACAGCCCACACAGAAGAGAATGAGCCATGCAAGTGAGCATGTGGGCAGTGGGTGGATGTGCACGCACACACACTTGTGCACACACATGCACGCACACACACACACACTTATACACACGCACACACACACACACACACACACACAGCCCACCTGGCACTCTCTGACTTTCAAGGTGGCTTCTTCTGGAGATGGAGTGTGTTCCTGTGGCAATGCCAGGTGTGCGTCTCCCCACCACCTGCCTCCCTGGAAGCCCCGCCTGAGTGACTGGCCCCTTCGCAGCCGTGTGCCTTGGCCCTCACTCGGCATTGGCCTTCTGCACCAGCGGCCTCGCGTGGGTTTCCTGTTTCCCCATCGGACCAGAGGGAGAGCTTTGTCACCCAGACCGGGCCTCCTGAGGGCGGGAACTGTCTCCCTCCATTCGGGCCCAATCGGTGGCTCTCACTCTCCAGGCAGAGTCTGACCTTGGACTTATTTTTGAGGGTGGAGGGAGGCTCCCAAGGTGCCCACAGGGCATGCTAGCACAGGCTGGCGTGCAGGTGGCTTGGAAAATGCTGGAGCGAGCCAGCCTGGCTGCCGGCTGAGGAGGCTCCCTCACAGCTGCCCAGGCGCACCTCCCCTCTACCCTCTGTCAGGCAGAGGAGCCCGCGGCCTCGGGGAAACTTCCAGAGCTCCCGAGCCTCCTCTTTCCTAAGAGGAGGAACTGGGTGGGAGGCAGCATCGAGGGCAGAGGCCGAACTGGATGAGGCCCTCCTGGCAGCAGGTGGTTGGACTCGTGCAGGGCACCCGAGGGAGGTGGCTGAGGCTTCTCCGGGCTCCTCAGACAGGAGACCCTCCTCCCTGCTCTGGGAGTTCGTGACGCCTAAGCGGCCCCCATAACACTGGGCTTGGGTGTGTTGCTCATAGCCGGCATTTTTAAATCAAAAGGAGTCCGAGTCTCTTTCCCATTTAGACACCAAGCCCCCGAGGACAGCCTCTGCCTCCTGGGGTTTAACATCACCCAGACAACTCCTGAGGTGGCGATGGGACTGGGCAGAAGCAGGGTGCCCGGGTGCCAGCCCTGCTCTGCCTGACGTCAGCTGTGTGACCCGCGCTAATGCTCGCTGTGTAGCTCACCTCTCAGGTCTCTTCCAGTTCTAACGGGTTCTGACTAAGTGATAACGTTGAGCCTCACTGGCCCCATCTGGAAAATGGGGATGGTAATCCCCCCAGCACGGTTCATAGAGCCGTGATGAACCAAAGCAGAACTTCTTTGGAAACGAGTTTAGCTCTGGCACCTCTCCTGGCCAGCAGAGGCCCGGTGCGAGTCTACGCTTTGCGGGTGGCACGTACCTGTCTTTTCAGGGAAACAGAGGCAGTCCAGGTTGGGCAGCAATTCCACCAAGCCTGTGCGGGGTCGAGGCTGCGTTCTCTGGGGGCGCCTCTTAGGTGGGCACCCTTGGAAAGGAGCTGTCTTCTCCCAGGACCGTGCAGACCTGCGCCCCACGACCGTGCGGGCGAACGCAGTGGGCCAGGCGTGGGAAGGGGGGAGCCTGGCGGGAACAGGGCTCTCCTGACCCTCTGCCCACCCCCAGCTCCCGGTGCCCATGGCTGTGCTGTATCTGCTGTCCAAAGAGCGGCTGCTGACCTGCTGCCCGCAGAGGAGGCCGCTGCTCCTGTCTGCAGATGAGCTCGCCCTGGAGACACAGCCTCCCGAGAAGGAAGCCGCTTCCTCGCTGCCCCCAAAGGTTCAGTCACACCCAGGTGGGGGCTCTCACGGACCCTCATGTCGCAGCCCCACACCGAGGCTCCTCCGGTAACCCCTCCCCCAGAGGGTGACCATAGGTCACAGGCGATAGAGGTTGGAAAAGAACCTTGGCACCAATGGTCTCATGAGGCAGGAGATGGAGCAGCCTGGCCAAGGGAACCAGGAAGGCAGACTTCCAGCTCCAACCTTGCTGTGTGACCTTGGGCAAGTTACTTGACCTCTCTGAGCCTTGCTTCCACCAGGACTGTGAGGTGGCCAGGGGCTGATTCTAACAGATGGTTGGTTGAAGCTAGAGAAGGTAGGAGGCCGTAAGTGGTCCTCCATGCCGCCAGCCGCTTCCCCTGGGCACGCAGAGGCACGGGGCGGGAGCGAGGCTCAGCCCTGCTCTTCTCATCTCATCCAGCGCACGAGGACCTGTTCAGCTGCTGCCGGAGGAGGAACTTCAGAGGAGCCCCTTACTCCTTCTTCGCCATCCACGTCACAGCTGCCCTGGTCCTGTTCATGACCGACGGGATGACGGTGAGCCTGCCCCCGGGGCGCCCCTCCCTGGGGACCCTCCGCCCGAGACTCCAATCTGGGGATGGCAAGAGAAGGAGAGAGGCATCAAGGTTTCCTAGAGCCCTCACCTGTAGTTCAGTCGATCCAAAACTTCAAACTGAATAAAAGTTCTGGGGTGGCTGTTTCCAGAATTGCTCACAGCCCCTTGGTACTACGGTCTTCTGTCCCAGCCAATAGTTTACATGTTCGTTAACTCTGGAGAGAGGGGCCTATGGGTTTGTTACTAAGTGCAGGCCCCCCCGAGTTTTTTTTTTTTTTAAACATATTTTATTGATTTTTTACAGAGAGGAAGGGAGAGGAATAGAGAGTTAGAAACATCAATGAGAGAGAAACATCGATCAGCTGCCTCCTGCATGCCCCCTACTGGGGATGTGCCTGCTACCAAGGTACATGCCCTTGACCAGAATCGAACCTGGGACCCTTGAGTCCGCAGGCCGGCGCTCTATCCACTGACCCAAACCGGCCAGGGCCCACCCCGAGTTTTTTAAAGGGGCAGAGCCCTGTTCTGCCAAGCAGAGGTCATGCCAGGTGAACTCAGGAGCACTCTGCTCCCTGGAATACATCCCGCACCTGGGCTCCTTCGCCACGTCGCACAAACGAGCCACAGATATCGGGGCGGGGCCCAGCGGTTCAGTCTGCTGGTGACCTCTGTCACACCACGTAATGCCTTTTTCTAGAAATCTCTAAGGGTTAGATTAGGATGGTGTGAATGGCTGACGCACTGATGGCCACATGAGGGGCTCTCCAGAGAGAAAGCCCGCACCCTCGGCGACCTGGCGGAAGGTGCTCGTGTCGGCCGGCGCTGGTTGACTTCCAACTCGCAGTGTGACCTCGGGCAAGTCGCTCCTCCACCCTCTCATCTGTAAAATGAGATGCTGGTACACACACTCTTTAGCAAACGTCCTTCAACAAAAAGCTTTCTGTGGAATCAGGACAAATAAGATACGTAGTGGGACCCGGATCTGGTGAGGGGCCACGGAGCTCCCGCACCTCCCTGGACCCAGAGGCCAGCGCAGGTGCAGTCGGGAGCCGTGGCGCCCAGGGTCTGTCCTCGGCTCCGGCCTGTGTGCACTGTGTGATCTTGGCCCCAAGCCCACCCTTTGTGGAGCAGGAGGGTCCCCCGACACCTGCCCGGCCAGGGCTTCCTTTCCCAGGGGTCTGGTCTGGCCACGCTGCAGGTGTGCTCAGCGGGCTCGTCTCCACAGGGCGCATATTCCACCTTCGTGTACAGCTATGCCGTGGAGAAGCCCATGTCGATGGGACACAGGATGGCTGGCTACCTCCCCAGCCTCTTCTGGGGCTTCATCACCCTGGGTCAGCTCGTCTCCATCCCCATCTCCTCCCGCGTGAGGCCGGCCACCATGGTTTTCATCAACGTGGTGAGTAGCCTCCTCTCACTTCTTGGAGCCTCAGGAGAAGCATTCACTCCTGGCCCTACCACCGCCCCAGGCCTTTGCTCAGGACTGAACTCTGCCAATGGGGTGCAAGTCGGGGTAGAGGGAGGGGTAGATGCTGGTGAAGAAGGGTGGAGATCCAGGAGGTGGAGCCTACCCTTGCGTCCTTGGAAATGTCCCTTCCTCCCTCTGCCCTCCCCCCATCTGTACTCCGACAAGGAAGGAGACAATTCCTGTTGTGTGTGGGTAGGTCCCAGCTGACAAACTGCCTGCAAGGGAAGCAGGTTCTGGCGTTGGTCCTCCGTGTCCACCTTGGTGCCCAGCTGGCAGAGCCTGTGACCAGTGGAAGCCAGGGGACCCTGGCCTTCAGAATCACCCTCTCTGGGCTGGAACCTGGCATGTGCATTTTGAAACTCTCCCAGGTGGTTCTCTAGCAGCCAGGCTGGCATGTGGGCTGCCTTCCAGGAACTGGTCTGCCCAGGAGGCGGGAGGTCGGAGCCTGAGTGATGGGTCTTAGCTTTCACCCTGAAATGTATCTCTGGCACCACCTATGACAAAGGGTCCGGATTCCAGATTCCAGAAAGGTCTCCACCCAACCTCCTGGAAGGGCTGGACTTACCTCCATAACACCCCTGTGCAGAGGAGGGGCACACGGCCTGTTCAAACCCCCAGGGACTGGGAACTCATTCCCTGACCTCGTATCCCCATCTGTTGTCAGAAAGTCCTTCCCTGGATTGAGTTTCTAGCAGAGAGAGGGTTGGGAAATACTGTTGGGCTACACAGACCAAACACGATGAGTCCCAAGAAAGGTTTTGGATTTGCCTTGTCCTGGTTTATGACCTTCCAGAAAGAAATTTCCCATCATCCAGCTCCACAAATACCTCTGTGCCTGGACTCACACCCAGCCCGACCTTGAACCTGCAATCCAGGCACGTGCCCTGACCCAGAACCCAGCCGGTGACCTCCTGGTGCCTGGGCTGATGCTCAACCACTGAGTCACACCAGCTGGGCCCAGATGCACTTTGTATAGAAATTAGTCAATATTGACAAACACATTTTTTATTTTTAAAAAATATATTTTTATTGATTTCAGAGAGGAGGGGAGGAGGGGAGAGAGATAGAAACATCAATGAAGAGAGAATCATTGATCGGCTGCCTCCTGCATGGCCCACACTGGGGATCGAGCCCGCAACCCAGGCATGTGCCCTTGACCGGAATGGAACCTGGGACCCTTCAGTCCACAGGCCGACGCTCTATCCACTGAGCCAAACCAGCCAGGGCGACAAACACATTTTAAAAAGAAATTTTAAAGGGTTGTTTTACCAAAAACATTACCATGGGGCAGTCCCCTGACTGAACTAGAAAGATTGCTGGTCCCCTGGCCCATCGCAGGGGCTACCATCTGCCGGTGGAGTCTGAGCCGAATCTGGGGGGAGCCACGCTGGCCTGCCAGAGCCGCTGACCATCTCTGGGAGTCCTGCCGGGATTCCTGGACGCTGGGGGACCCTGCAGCCACCACCACTCTCCTGTGACCGGGGCTTCCTCCGTGAGCTCCGGGCCTTTACGGAAGAAGCAGTTCCTCTTCGTGAGGAGTGGAGGACCCCGCCTCTAGCAGCAGGAACAGAGCTAATGACTTGGCTGGAGTTCCCTGTGCTTACAGGCAGGGCCTTGGGGGCAGTCAGGACCCCTCATCAAGCACTTGTTGAGCGTGTGTGGTAGGCCAGTTGTTGGCGATGGCTGGCGGGGGGTGGGGGGCGCACCTTCTCCCAGCCTCACGTTCTCTGGGCTGGGTTGGCAGCCAGGACTGCGGAAGGTGCAGTCCCCACCTCTTCCACAGGGTGGCACGCTGGTCACAGCGCTGTTCCTCATGCCTGAGTGTCCAGGTCAGGAGACCGACTCCTGCGGGTTTTTCTCTCTGACGGACACCCAGCCTTTCCCAGTTTCTAACCACCTCCGTCACCGCCGTGACAGGTCGGCGCGGTGGTGACACACCTGGTGCTTCTCGCTTTCTCCTACAACGTCATCTTCCTGTTCGCGGGCACCGCCTGCCTGGGCCTGTTCCTCAGCAGCACCTTCCCCAGCCTGCTGGCCCACACGGAGGACATCCTGCAGTACAAGGGTGAGTGTGCACGTGCGCAGGGTGAGCGCAGGGCGGGCCGCTCCCTCTGGCCGGCGCCGCTTCCCGCCCTCCCCGTCTCCTGCGATGCTCCTGGCTGGTGGGAACAGGTTCTGATCCAGGTGGCTCCCACTTCAACAGGATACCTCAGTGTGTGATTTCAGGCCTCAGAGCAGCAGTACGTTCCTCTCGCCCACTTCCTTTTCCCCGGAGTGATCTCTGCTGACCCACAGTTGGCGTGTTGTGTGACATGCGTGGACATTCCAAGTAGCACAGAAGTCACAGCCTAGGAGAGGGGTTTTACACCTCAGCAGTCATAGTGGCCCCACACCCAGAGGCTTGGAGCCAGCACTCACAGCTGCTGTGGGTTGTGACGCCGCTTCTTTGATGTCAGAAACCTCGAATTCTCTTCCCTAGTTTCCTTCTCTTTCTGTAGCCTCTCAAATGCAGATGGAAAAAATCTTTTGTAAAACGAGTTCATTGAAAATAGTTGTGTTTCAAACAGTTAACGTAACCTTTAGAACAGTGGTCGCCAAACGGTGGTCCACGAGGTCCGAAAGGTTGGTGACCGCTGCTTTAGAAGTAACTGGAGATGCCCTAGACCAGCGGTTCTCAACCTGTGGGTCGTAACCCCTTTGGCGGTCGAACGACCCTTTCACAGGGGTCGCTTAAGACCATTTGCATATCAGATATTTACATTACGATTCATAACGGTAGCAACATTACAGTTATGAAGTAGCAACGAAAATAATTTTATGGTTGGGTCACAACATGAGGAACTGTATTTAAAGGGCCAAAAGGTTGAGAACCATGTCAGCATTTTGGAAAACCCTAACTTAACTCTGGTGCCGTGTCACATATAGAAATTTTTTGATATTTGCAACCATAGTAAAACAAAGACTTATATTTTTGATATTTATTTTATATATTTAAATGCCATTTAACAAAGAAAAATCAACCAAAAAAATGAGTTCACGTGTCACCTCTGACACGTGTGTCATAGGTTCGTCATCACTGGCCTAGAGTGTCAGAAAAGCAGCATTAAAGATGGGTGGTTTATTTAGAGGAGGAAGGTGGTTTATTAGGGAGGTGGGGGCAGGGGAGGGGGGGGTCAGAACAATTAGAGCTGCACCCAGCTCCATCCCATAGCAATGAGACAGGAGACCGAGTCCTTGAAATCTAAGGATAATCCCCAAACCTCAAGCGAGTAGATTAAGTCGGGAGTAATGGTGATGTATGTCACACTATATCCCACAGTTTTAAGTGACCAACAGATGTCAGCGTTTAACAGGAGTAACAGCGAGTTATAGTGGTGGGTTCTGCCTGCAGATGGTCACTCAGACCCATCTTCTCTTCATCTCTCCCCACCCTGCCTTAGCTCGGGCTCCATCACTTACCTGCTAGGACTCTAACAGCACCCAGCACCCAGCTTTCCCCGGTGTCTGATCACCTCCTTCGCTGCCTTGGCAGGTCTTGGCTTGTCTCCTTGCCTTCACCTTTGCCCCCATCAGAGGTTCAGTGCTGGTTCCCCATGAGAATCCCCTGGAGCGCTTGTTACAAAACCCAGCACCTGGGCTTCCGCTCCACCACCAAGTCTGATGTCACTGGTCGGGAGCTGCTGGGTGATTCTAACGCGGAGCCAGGGCGAGGGCCACTCATTCACGCAGCCATCCCCGGCACTGCCACCGGGGGCTGCCTCCACAGCTGGCCCTGGCCTTCCTGTCTTCCCGTGGGGTATGGGGCTCTCTTCCTTTGCCCGGCCTTCTCCCACCCTGCTCCCCCTCAGAGCTGGCATTCCAGCCGGCTACTCCCTGACAGCACATGAATCCTCAGCATGGAAAGCCTTCGACTCCGTCCCTCCCGGAAGCTTCCCTGATCCCCACTAAAAAGGTACCCCCTCCTCTGCTTCTCATGTTTGATCCCCTCAAGGCTTTTGTACCTAGTTATCTGCATCTTCTCCTTGACAACACACTCCCCATGGGCACCAGTGAGGGACAAGGGCCGGGGCGAGGGCTGTGAGGTCATCAGCAGACCCGAGTATCCGTCCGGCCTGCCTCTCCCTGGCTTTGTGGCCTGGTGTGATTCGATTTCTTTCCCCTCTCCGAGCCTCAGTTTTCTCATCTGAAAAGTGGGGATGCCAATACTTCCCTGTGAGGATTGCTTTGCGCGTTAGAGGAAATGTAAAGCTCTTGACTCAGCCGCTTACCTGGCTCCCAGGTACCCAATATATATATGTTAACGCTAATTACTCATCAGTGTTTACCACAGTACTTGATGCTCAGAAGGTACTGGAAGGTTTTTGAATGAATGAGTGGAACAGACAGTGGGTGCCACTGGGATTCAGAGAAGCGAGTGACCAGTGTTAAATCTCGAGGTAGCTTCATGGAAGAGATGGGACGTGAGCTGGCCCGGAGTTCGGAAAGGCGGAAGGAAAAAGGAAAGGCATCCGGGGAAGGGTGGGGCGGGGCAGTGGCCAGTGTGAGAGCAAAGGCGCAGAGACAGGAGGAAATGATCTGCTTTATTAAAAAAACACTGTGTCTACCGTCCGTCTGTCCGTGGGCCACTGTGTGATAAGCAGTGATGTGTCCACTGCACTAACAGCCAAGGCCCGTCCTCTCTCAGGGGCTTAACCCTGGTGGGCGAAGCTGCCCAGTAGACAGACGGGGGGGGGGGGGAACATGAGACAGATGAGGGGGCTGAGGGTGCACAAAGGAGCAGCAAACCCAGGTTGAGGGATGGGATGAGAGAACAGAAGGAAATCCAAGCAGGACTGGAAGCTGAGGAGGAGGAGGAGGAGGAGGAGGAGGGAATGCACATGTGGGACCAGGGGGCGAGTGTGAGTGCACAGGTGCGGAGCTGACGGTTCTCCTCCGGGCTGCAGGGCAGCCTGCCAGCAGGGAGTGCGAGCTGAGTCTGCGCTCCCAACAGGCACAGGTTAGAAAGGGCCCTGGCAACCCCGGCCCGGCGCTCGGACTGGATCCTGAGGCAGCGCTGGAGGGTTTCAGCAGGGAGCTGGCCTGGCTTCGGGGGTTTGCGTGTCCAGGGCTGTGCTAAGCACTCCGTGCCTCGCACCGGTGGGACCCACGCGCCAGCCCTGTGACGCCCATTTCACAGAAGGAAACCGAGGCCCCGAAAAGGGAGAGAACTGCCTCAGGTCACAGAGCTGCAGGGGGCACGGCGGGGCGTGGGCCAGGCTGACTCTGAAGTGTGGGCTCTGAAAGTCGGTGCCAGGCTGGTGAGCGGGGCGCTGGTTGGGGCAGTGCCAGGGCGTCAGGACACCCTTCTGCCCAGAGTGGAGGCGGCCTGGGGTCAGGAGGTCTGTCGGAAAGGGGGGGGCGGGCACGTTGGGAAGGGCCCTGAATGCCAGGTTAAGCCCCTTGGAATTCACCAAGGAGACAAGGGTGAACCGTTGAAGGTCTCAGAACGGGGAGGGTCGTAATGACGGCAGGACCTGAGCATCCCCAAAGCCCGGTGAAGAGCTCAAGTCTGGCCCTGGCTGGTTTGGCTCAGTGGGTAGAGCATCAGCCTGCGGACTGAAGGGTTCCAGGTTCGATTCTGGTCAAGGGCACATGCCTGGGTTGCGGGCTTGATCCCCAGTCGGGGACGTGCAGGAGGCAACCAATCAATGATTCTCATCATTGATGTTTCTCTCTCTCCCCCTCTCCCTTCCTCTCTGAGATCAATAAAAACATATTTAAAAAAAAAAAAAAAGAGCTAAAGTCTGAGAAGCCTTAAGAATGGCAAGGAGTCCTCCTAGGCAGCCATGCTGCTTCCCGGACACCTCCCAGAATAACACGGAACACGCCGGCTGCCTGTCTCCTAACTTGTTCTCACTAAACCAAGCCCCTCTCTTTTGGGTAGGCTGTGCGACCACGGTGCTGGTGACAGGGGCAGGACTTGGCGAGATGTCCCTCCAGATGCTGGTTGGCTGGGTAAGTGGAAAACTCTGGGGGCGGGGGAGGAGCACTTGGGGTGCACTCCTTCAGGCAGGTGGGAAGGCAAGCGGGCCCACTCGGTGTTACCTGCCTCCGTTGCTGAGCCAGCCCTGGAAGCTGAGCCTCCAAATGGGGAACCCGGAGCTGGGAAGGGATGCGAGAGGCCAAGGCAAACACAAGTCATGTCTGGGAGCAGGGCCAGGGGGCCCCGTGGGAACGTTTAGCTCCCGGGCCTGGGATGGATTGCACTGCAGAGTTCTTTGTCCATCGCTTCTCAACCGGCCACTCCCTCAGCCTGCCTCTCGGAGCCTCTGGCCACCTACAAAGGGCCCAGCTTTCCTGCCCGGACCCTGCCCTGGCCCTGGGCCGGCTCTCAGTTCTTGTCCCACACCCACCATGCATGTGTTCACCAGGGAAAGTAAGTCTGCTTTTTACCGAATACTGGAGTGTAGACATTGTCACCCCCTTTCTGCAGCGGAGGGTACTGTAGCCCAGATCAACTAAGCAGCTCCCCTCAGTCATCACACTTCTAGTGACTGTCGGGTGACTTCCAACCCAGGTCTTTCCATCTCCAAAGTCCCTCCTCACTGCTCCCCTGCCCTCTGCTCTGGCCTGCCGGGCGGGGAAGAGCTGCATCGTCCAGGGCCCTCTGCGTGCAGACGAGGGGGCTTGGATGGGCTTCAGTGTGGTCTCGGGGAGGCTACGGAGGAAACTGGTGCTAATTGCTGAAGTTGGTGGTGGGTCCATGGGCGTTCCATATGCAACTTTGACACGTGTATGTGTGTGTGTGTGTGTGTGTGTGTGTGTGTGTCCTCTGCAAAGCTCTGGTCAGGCCTCGTGGGGAGAGGAACACCTAGTGTGACTGGAGTTTTAAGGAAGACAGGGACGTTTTTCAGAAGGTTCCAGGCACAGAGCTGAAAGGGACTGCCGGGGTCCCCGGGCCCAGCCCCTGCCGTGGAGCAGGATTTCTGTCTCCTCCAGAAACATGACCTTGAAACGAGGCCAACATGTTCCTGCTGCCCACGTTCCTGTCTGTCGGTGTGACCGTCCTCGGCTTGGCTAGAAAACCCGCCGAGGGCCGGAGCAGGCCGCTTCCGCCCATACAGCTTCATGTGAGGGTTTGATGGCCCCTGTCTCTGTGTTTCCCCTTTGGCAGGTATTCCAGGCTCGGGGCAGCTACAGCTTCCTGGTCTGTGGCGTGATCTTTGCCTGCTTGGCTTTTACCTTCTACATCTTGCTCCTGTTTTTCCACAGGATGCACCCTGGACTCTCATCAGGTAGGGAAAGGAGCCGTTTCTGCACAAGGGGAGGAAAACAGAGGGGGGAGGACGTGGGAGATGCTCTGGACCTCAGCACGCCACCAGGGCTGTTCTGGTCCAAGAAAAATGCAAGGAAATGTTTACTTTTCCACAGCTTCCTCTCCCCTCTTCCTGCTTTGCCAGGCGATTGTCTGCGCTGCGAGCAATGGGGGGCTGGCTCATGGTTTCTCTACTAGGAGAGGGGCATGGACGTGAACTTGGCTTCCTGCATCCCACGGGCCTCAGGACCGCGGGCCAGGACTCTCCCGGCCTGCGCGGGGCCCTGAGCTGCAGAGCCTGCCTCCTTCCTTGGCTGGAACTCAGCCCAGCAGCCCAATTGGCCCTCTCTCTGCAGTTTAGGATTTTGACTCGAGTCCAGATCTTTTTGTCAAAAAGAAGTCCTCGGGCCAAGTGGCAAAGAAAAGCTCCTTCAGGACAGAGGCACACCTAACAGTCTCACTGCTGCAGAACCCAGGCTGGGGGAGTCCCACAGCTATTTTCATTGCCTGCGCCCTTCCCGGCCTTTCCGCCCAGAGCTCTCAACATCCCCACAACTGCTTCCGCCGTGCATGTGGCCAGGCCCTAAGGCAGCGGTTCTCAACCTGTGGGTCGCCAACCCCTTTGGCGGTCGAACGACCCTTTCACAGGAGTCGCCTAAGACCATCCTGCATATCAGATATTTACATTATGATTCATAACAGTAGCAACATTACAGTTATGAAGTAGCCACGAAAATAATTTTATGGTTGGGTCACAACATGAGGAACTGTATTTAATTAAAGGGCCAGAAGGTTGAGAACCACTGCCCTAAGGGAAGGTGCCCAGGTAGAGCCCTCGTCATCCCCATGAAAAGCAAAGTCTGGAGGGACAGGCAGCCACAGTCCTCTCTGGGCAGTGGACACATGCCCGCTTTGAGCAATCAGTGTAGAAGCCCAGAAGAGCAATGGGGGGTGGGGGGGTTCCCCAATCAGCTCTAACGACAGTCGTGCCGTGAGGTGGCCAGTACCAACAGCCGTCTAGTCCAGCACAGAGCCTCCCTTTAGGCCACACGTTCAAGAAGTGTTTGCTGAATGTCAAATGAGTGACATTGAACAAATTCCCTAATCAAGGGAGACAAAAAGAAATACATATTCCCTAAGCCCCAGACACTGATCTCAACAAACTGCCTCCACCAACAGTTGCCAGAACCAGTAGGTCTAACTTGTCACCTGGCTCTCTAAGGAGCCACGGGCGGCAGAGAAGCGAGGCGGGGGAAGCTCTCAGAACCAGCACTGCCTGCAGCTGAGACGTGCTGCCTGGTTTTTATTGTTGTTGTTGCAGTTCCTCCCCAGGACAGACCATGCGGGACGGAAGGCTCCGAATGCTACCAGAGGTAGAAGTGGGGGAAGGAGGCAGGCGAATACATCGGCCTCTCGAGCACCAGTGGAGACCAAAGCGTGGAAGAAAGCTGGCCGGAAGCGGAGGCCATCGGTCCCCCGGCGCCTCGGTCAGGTCTTCTCCACTCAATACTGGCGTAGAAGGAATTAAATCGCGTTCTGGTACCTGGGTCCTCCCTGGGCAAATCATTAGGATTTTACTCGGCTAGTCCAGCGACTTCCCTCCTCCCTGGGGGGACTTGGTCAGAGCTGCCCAGGATGCCGCTGGGGAGGAGGAGGAGGAGACTGTCACTTCACTCTACTGGCCGCCTCCTGCATGGACCACACCCCAGGTTTGAAGATCACTCTTAGATGATTTTGAAAATACAGGTTGAAATCATAAAGCTTGATGATCACTGTTCTATGTAGATCTACTTTAAGTTAATCAGAACCAACCCCACGTTCCTCCGTGGCATGCTCCTAGGATTTATGTGCTTTTTCCTTATTCACAGTCCAGAGTCCCCCAAATTCCTGCTGCTGGTATCAGTAGCTCATCCATGATCTAAAACAGCAAAAGGAAACGTTGAATCTTGCTTTCTTCGGGACACTAATTCAGCGGTATGCTGGGCTAGCTCCTACCAGTTTATAAGAAAAAAAAAAAAGGCTGATCTTTAAAATTTCATTTTGAGAGCTGTCTGTTAAATGCGGCCGTTATTAAAATTTAAATGATAGAAACTTACAATTAAATTACATTAAAGACGAAGGTAATGCCTACTCAAAACTCATCACTTCCTGATTTTTCTATGTCTGTGCTCTTGGAGGAATTGATGACTGTCGTGTCTGTATTGTAGAAACACTATCACTTTCAGTGATGAGGTGTTGCTGACTCGAGGTCAGCCAGAGTGGGAGTATTTACACCACAGAAATCGGCAAAGGCTACAAAGCCTGGCTTTTCTCCCCTGGAGGTGCAGGTGTTAAACATCTGCCCGCGCACCACTGCTAGTCATCAGTGCGAACTGGTCCAGAAGCTGCCCGAGAGAATGAGATGGATGTTCTATTTTTCTTTACTGACATTGACTAGCTTATAAAAGGTGTAGAAACGGCTCTAAGAACTTCTCAAAAACATCCAATTTAAACTTTACTTCTATAGAGAAAACAACTCTTTACAGGCATACCTCAGGGATATGGCGGGTTCAGTTCCAGACCATCGCAATAAAGCGAGTGTCACAATAAAGTGAGTTGCAATCTTTTTGCTGGTGGAGGCTCTCGCCTTCAATTTGTTAAAAAAAAAAAAAAAAAAGGCAACACAATAAAGCAAATCACAATTAAATGAGGTATGCCTGTGTACCAATGTCAAGTTCTTGGACAAAAATGGGACTTCTGAGCAATTCAAGCTGCGCAGTATCCTGAAAGCCGTGCCTGCCCGTCCAGAGCAAGTCCCATAGCGCTACACGCTCGGCGACCTGGAAAGGGGTGAGCCCTGAAACTGTAAGTTGTGAGGTGGCTGTCACAGTGACTGTGTTTAGTTCACCTGCTCTTTCTGTCTGTATACACGTGTACACCTATAAAAAGTAAGTGGATCCTGATTCTCAGTAACCTGTCCAGGAACGCGGTTCGCATGCCCGACATGAAAAGGTGTGTCTGGGCCTGTAGGCGCGGCTGTGAGCAGCCAGCAGCATGGAGTGGCGCTCACATCCGCCTGCGGAGACCCCGCACGGCGCTGGCCTCCGCTCCTCGCTGTGGCCCTGGGCAGGGACGTCACGGAGGCTCTTCCGGCTTCGCTGTTTTAATCTGTAAAGTGACATTTCTAGAAGGAATTACCCTACCTCAAAGGAATTCTGAAAAAATTTGGTGAATGTGTGTAATTATTCATATGCCTGACAGCTTAGAAATTGTTCATATGTTTGTTGTATGTTTATGGTAAGTCAAACAGATCCAAATTCTTTTGGAAGCTGGTGGGCTAGGGGTATAGTTTTAACTATGTCTGTAAACACTTAAAAGTATTCCATGCCAGCCAAACCTAAATGTGTAACCTAACGGTAGGGAGTGACTAACCGGGGCAAAAAGCAAACAGCTGTATTTTTCTTGTGGCTTTTTTCAAGAAAACATCCTTTTTATACAGAGTTAGAAAGAAGAATCCGTGGCTATATCTACGATGACCAAGATTAATTTGTGACTATAGAAAACGAGATTGAAACAAATTTAAGACTGCCTTTTCTAAAATAAAACATTTTAAATGGAATAAGTGTGTTATCTATTATCAAGGGCAATTGATCCTTTTATATAACCCCAGAAACAAATGACCAAATGTTCCCCCAGAGACAGGTCTTTATCGTAGTGTGAGTTCACATGGCTAATGTTTTAGAAGAAACAAGATCTTACCACACGGGCCTGAGAACCACGACTCCCTCTTACACACAATCTGGATAAGGAGAGGCGGGTGGGTGTTGATACCAGGCTGCACACTCAGTTTTCTGATCTTCTTTTTAAGAGTTCGGAGGTTCCAGGCTGCTGTGGACTTGCCATTTCCGGATTTCCTTCTGCTACTAGACGCGGGGACGGGACCCAGCATCAGTGCGCCAGGTTCACTAACGGGAGGTATCGTGACAGGTGCTGGAGAGAATTCACTTATTCATTCAAAAGGATTTGTTGAGCACCTACTATGCTCAAGGCACTGATCTATGTGCAAAGATAGAGCAGAAAATGAGATGCCAGTCCCTGCCTCCCAGAGATTACGCTGCAGCTGAAGACATACAGACGGTGAACAGAGATAACGTGCCACAGGATGCGTGATAACGGAGGGCCACAGAGAAGAGTAAAGTAGGGAAAGGGGTGGGAGAGGGAATGTCACGCGATGGTCTGGAAGGCCTTTCTAAGGAGGTGCCGTTTGTGCAGAAACCTGAGTGATGGACAGGAGCAAGCCATCCAAGTAGCCGGGAGAGACTGCACCAGGCAGGGGACACAAGTGCCAGGGCCTGAGGCTGCATGTGCTTGCACGGTGAGGGCTGGCGAGAGGCCGTGTGCTCCATGCACGAGGGAGGAGAAGAGGGGCAGGAAGTGAGAGTGGAAGCGAGGGCCAGATCATAGAAGCCGTGTTAGGCGTATAGATTTTTTTTTTTTTTTTTTTTTTTTTTAGTTACGTGAGTTATTAGGAGAGTTGTGAGCAGGTGAGGGGCAAAAATAAACTTGTGGACACAGGCAAGGTTACAATTGCAATAAACTGCATAGGAGATGGTGTCTAGGACATAGATGTGAGAGGAGGGAAACGAATAATCAATTCAGAAAGCCATTTTGTTAAAAATATTTACTTAAAAAAATACAGTTGTCCATATCTAGTTGCACATGTATCTATTAACGTATCTATATAATTTTGGGCTTTAGTAAATTTGATACAGTGCTTAAAGCCAGTTAGCCATTTCATTATACAAAGCAAGTGCCTGTCCTTATATAAAATAGTTTTTCAATGTCATCTAATAAAATGCTTATCATCATTACAGAATTTAACAACATTTTTGCATAGAACTTGAAGTGATAGAAAAAAATAATCTGACTAGTTATTCAGAGCAATGTCTGAAGACCCACGGGGTATCAACCACACCTTTTTTCTTTGAAAAGCAGTGGATTCAAAGTGCTGGCGCATCCTCCCCCTCACCCACCTAAACTTGGGGTCCTGTTTCTCCGTCATAAATAAATACAACTCAAGACTCAAAACAACATCCTTTGTTTCCCACAGGTTAGCTGGGGAGAGGGCAGTTTCTCTCACTCACATCAAAACTAAAGATTTTAATAAATGTTAGCAGTTGCCATCATTTTAATTGCCCCCTTTTTTTTTAAGGAAAAAGATTTAATACTTTGAAAGTCTCCCTAATATAAATTACACCGAAATTAAAACAAGTTCCTAATGACACTTGCACTTTATAGATAAGTATTCTATTTATACAAGAGTGGTGGATGCTGGGTATTATGAGGGACAGATTTCAAGAAAATAAACAAGGGGGTAAGTAACGAATGAAGTAACGGTCGTCTCAGTTGAGTTGATCCAGGTTTAAGGAAAGCACCCTGACAAGTTCTTATTACCACATATCCTAAAACTAAGACACTGACATAGAAAAACACATCTCTTCTGTGTTAATGCCATAACAGGTTTTCCTTCTGAATTATAGATTGGGTGAATGGAAGTTAAAAGTTTATTATTTAACACCATTTAATTCTCAAGTGATGGCAACACTGAAAATCCAGTAGAGCTCATTTAAAAATTGTTTGTTCTTCAAAATACAAAGTTAAACACTTTATTTTTAGCCAACTTGATTACTGGGAGACTAAAGGGCATAATTTTAAAAAAACTAATTTTAGTAACATTTTATTGCCTCAAACCAAAGCTAACTGGTAGCAAAATGACTGGATTGAGTTTCATATATAACCTTCCCTACCCACAAAGATAAACGAAACTGCCAGAAGACAAAAGTGAAGAAACAGATATGACTAGATATGACTATAATTAGAGACAATTGAATGGCCAAACGGAATAAACAGGCCTTAAGCAATAAAACATTAATTGTATTGATTTCTATCTGCATCTTAGTTTCACTGATACGGAGCAGGGACGTTCATCAAATATGCTACTTCACCACATAAGCAATGAATATAATATACAGCCCTCAAAAACAAAAAATATGAAATGTCTTAAACGGAACTGCATCCCCTAAATAACAGACAGTAAACAACCATGATTAAACAGAAAAGAAACTTAAAACTGAATAGTTTACAAAGTTGAATATAATCTACCAATTGCAAATCATCAAAAGCCATACATTTCTACCAAGCAGAATATTAAAAGCTTGTAAGTTATTTAAAACATCCTAGGCCAAAGAGCATGCCTACAGAGCCTAGAAGAATGGTAATCCATTCACCCCTTCTCCAAACAGTCTTAAGTTCCAGAAAACATAAATGAGAAATAAACTTTAATTCCCTGACTCTTAACATCCATTACTTGGAATTAGACTAACAAAATAATCATTAAGTGTTTCCAGTTATTAAAAACAAAACAGTGCTAATAATGGTGCCCAAAAAAGTGCCACGTGAATTGATACCAATATTTGGCATTCCCACCCCTGAACTCCAGGCACACTGTAATGATGGCATTGGCTAGAACTCTGGCGCAGCCACAGGACACCCCACCCCATCCAGAAGACCCCAGGCCTGTCCTAGCCCAGCTCATAATCCTCAGAGGGGACAAGAACCAGCATGGGCCCATATGAGATGGAAAACAAGGCAAAGCTGAGAACATTCAGCCCAAGATACTCTGAGGTTTCTAATACTTATGACGTACAGTTTAAGAGGTTAAATGAAGCTAAATACAATGTCAGAATTCCTCCACTATTATATCAATCCACGGGCAAATCGGTACTTCAGAAATATTATAGCATAATCCTCTCCTCTGAGAAACTTAGAACCCAATGTAATAAGGGTTTTACACAAAAGCAAAAGTAAATGTAGAAATTTTAAGACAGGACATCCTTATTTGCTCAATAATACATGAAATTAGAGAACAGATTAAGATGACTTTAACATATGTCACATACGGCGCTGTAGTTCTAAAATATTGGCAAGCAATTAGTCTTTAAGGCCTATGAGCCTACGCATTTTAAAAACCTGAAATGTGCAAAGCATTGATTTTTAAAAAGTGGCAACTGCAAAGTGCGCCAATTTTTTTTAAGTTTTAGTATAAAATAGCCCAGGAGCCATCCTAGAGGATGAATAATAAATGGTTCCTCTGAAAAACAGATTCTCACACACACAGAGTCAATACATCTCACACACACACACTCAGTCAATAAATCAAGAATGCTTGGGAAGAAATGCTCTAGTATCAATTAAATATTTAAAAATAAAACTTTAAACCTCATAAAACTTCCTGATGTATATTATACTCAAAAGACTAATGTTCAAGCGATTTACTATGTTTGATTGTATTCCTCATGAATTTTCTTGTTAAAGGTTTCATTTTAAATGATGTTAACGACAACTTGAGTTTTCTGGTTTCTAAAGAAAGCTTAAAGCCAACATTTCCCTGTCCACAGACCACTCTGGATTCCAGCTTTCATAATGGCGAAGCATGAATGGCTGCATCGAGAAACTGCTATATTCTGACAGGCTGTCAATCTATGGCGATCGAT